ACTTGTCGAAGGCTTTTGCAAAGTCTGTATATATTACATCTGCATTCTTTTTGTCTTCTAGTGCATTTAGGACCTTGTCGTAGTGATCCAGTAGTTGAGACAGACAGGAGCGACCTGTTCTAAACCCATGTTGCCCTGGGTTGTGTAACTGATGGGTTTCTAGATGGGTGGTGATCTTGCTTCTTAGGACCCTTTCAAAGATTTTTATGATATGGGATGTTAGTGCTATTGGTCTGTAGTTCTTTGCTGTTGCTTTACTGCCCCCTTTGTGGAGTGGGGCTATGTCTGTTGTTTTTAGTAACTGAGGGACGACCCCCGTGTCCATGCTCCCTCTCCATAGGATGGAAAAGGCTCGTGATAGGGGCTTCTTGCAGTTCTTGATGAACACAGAGTTCCATGAGTCTGGCCCTGGGGCAGAGTGCATGGGCATGTCATTTATCGCCTGTTCGAAGCCATTTGGCGTCAGGATAACATCGGATAGGCTTGTGTTAATCAAATTTTGTGGCTCTCTCATAAAAAATTCATTTTGATCTTCGACTCTCAGTCTGGTTAGCGGCTTGCTAAAAACTGAGTCATATTGGGACTTGAGTAGCTCACTCATTTCCTTGCTGTCATCTGTGTAGGACCCATCTTGTTTAAGTAGGGGCCCAATACTGGACGTTGTTCTCGATTTTGATTTGGCATAGGAGAAGAAATACTTTGGGTTTCTTTCGATTTCATTTATGGCTTTTAGTTCTTCCCGCGATTTCTGACTCCTAAAGGATTCTTTTAGCTTAAGTTCGATGCTTGCTATTTCTCCGACCAGTGTCTCCCTGCTCATTTCAGATATATTGACCTCTTTTAGCCGCTCTGTTATTCTTTTCCGTCGCCTGTAAAGGGAGCGCCTGTCTCTTTCTATTTTACATCTACTCCTCCTTTTTCTTAGAGGAATAAGCCTTGTGCATACATCGAGTGCCACCGAGTTAATCTGTTCTAGGCATAAGTTTGGGTCTGTGTTGCTTAGTATATCTTCCCAGCTTATATCGGTTAGGACTTGGTTTACTTGGTCCCACTTTATGTTTTTGTTATTGAAGTTGAATTTGGTGAATGCTCCTCGTGACAGTCTCATTTTGTCGGTCTGGGGCTCCACGCATACATGACTGAACCTCAATTATGTTGTGATCTGAGTATATTGTTTTTGATATGGTGACGTTTCTTATCAGATCATCATTGTTAGTGAAGATGAGGTCTAGTGTATTCACCAGTCTAGTAGGCTCTATTATTTGCTGTTTAAATTGAATTTTGTGCAGAGATTTAAAAGCTCGTGTGAGTGTGAGTTTTCATCAGAGCTGCCTCCTGGTGTTATTACTGCAACAATATTATTTGCTATATTCCTCCATTTTAGGTGCCTTAAGTTGAAGTCCCCCAGGAGCAAGATGTTTGGGTGCAGGAGCGGGAAGATTTTCCAGACAGTGGTCAATTTTTAACAGTTGTTCCTGGAATTGCTGGGATGTTTGCATCCGGAGGCTTGTAGACTACCACAATGACTAGGTTTTGGTTCTCGACCTTTACTGCTAAAACTTCCACTACATCATTTGAGGCATTAAGCAGTTCTGTGCAAACAAGTGACTCTGCAATGTACAGGCCAACCCCCCCCCCCTTTTGCCTGTTCACTCTGTCACATCTGTATAGATTGTAACCTGGGATCCATATTTCGTTGTCTAAGTGATCCTTTATGTGGGTCTCAGTGAAAGCCGCGAACATTGCCTTTGCCTCTGCAAGCAGTCCACGGATGAAAGGTATTTTGTTGTTTGTTGCTGGCTTTAGACCCTGTATATTTGCAAAGAAGAATGCAGGGGATTTCGGGAAAATTAGGTTAATTTTGTCCCCCCTAGGATGCGACCCACACCAGTCGACTAACACCCAGGTACCTACTTACTGCTAGGTCAACAGAGACAGCAGGTATAAGGTGGCTAACACTCAGGCGAATACTTCGTCCTAGATATACAGGGACAGCAGGTATAAGGTGACTAACACCGAGGTACCTACTTACTGCTAGGTGAACAGGAACAGCAGGTGTAAGGTGACTAATACCCAGGTACCTACTTACTGCTAGGTGAACATGGACAGCAAGTGTTTTAAGGAAACACGTCCCAATGCTTCCACCCGTACCGGGAATCTAACCACGGACCTCAAGGTGTGAGCTGAGTGTACCAGCCATTAGAAGTCCTCGGTCAGAGGACCAAAAGCTCCAGCTGTGGAGTCATAATATGACTAAGACCCGCGTCAGGAAACACTTGTCCTGTTTCATGACAAACCTAACGTAACCTAACCTAACCTAACGTAACCTAACCTAACCTAACCTAACCTAAGGTAACCTAACCTAACCTAACGTAACCTAACGTAACCTAACCTAACCTGACCTGACCTAACCTAACCTAACCTAACCTAACCTAACCTAACCTAACCTAACCTGACATGACCTAACCTAACCTAACCTAACCTAACCTAACCTAACTTAACCTAACCTAACCTAACCTAACCTAACCTAACCTAACCTAACCTGACCTGACCTAACCTAACCTAACCTAACCTAACCTAACCTAACCTAACCTAACCTGACATGACCTAACCTAACCTAACCTAACTTAATAACCTACCTAACCTAACTGAACTGACCTGACCTAACCTAACCTAACCTAACCTAACCTAACCTAACCTAGCCTAACCTAACCTAACCTTACCTGGTATTGTTTGCAATCGTGTCATTACGATTTCGTGAATTTATATTATAATATATATATATATATATAATATATATATATATATATATATATATATATATATATAATATATATATAATATATATATATAATATAATATATAGTACAAGAACATTTCCCTGGTCTCTTCCCTTTTGTTTCAGCTGGGTATAGCAAGGAATCAATGCTTCTCTTTGGAGAGCATGAAATCACATCATCGGAGGGTGTCCAACAAGGAGATCCTCTTGCACCATTTCTCTTCTGTATTGCAGTTAGGGAAATCACAGTCAGACTGACCAGCGAGCTAAACATCTGGTTCCTAGATGATGGCACACTAGCAGGTACAAAGGAGTCCCTCCTACATGACCTTACACAGGTAATGACACGGGACAGGAAATGGGTCCTCATCCTGAATCCATCCAAATGTGAAATCATCTCAGTCAGTCAACAAGTGATAAATGCAGTGAGATCAAAACTACCAGGAGCAGCAGTCATTGCCCCCACAAACAGTGTCTTGCTAGTAGCACCTCTGGGAAGCAATGCCATTGACACAATTCTCAGGAAAAAAATTGGAAGAGTTAAGGAGAATGGAACAACGAATAGGCAATCTGGACACCCACGATGCCTTGTACCTTCTCACAAAGTGCTTGAGTCTGCCCAGGTTGACATATTTCCTAAGATGTGCACCTTCATAATGATAACCCTATACTGCACGAATATGACAGTATTCTGAGGCAGATTTTTACGAAAGTACTTAACCTTACTCTAGAAGACGGGCAGTGGAACCAAGCTACACTTCCAGTCAGACTAGGAGGCATTGGTGTCCGCAAGTCATCACAGATTGCGTTACCTGCTTTTCTGTCCTCGTGTATTGCATCCAGAGAGCTTGTAGCAGCGATTCCCCCTGAACATCTTAGGACAAGATTGGAGCCCAGGACCGAAAATTCATTGACGGAGCAATGATCTGGGATAATCTAACGGGCTCTGAAACCAGACCTGCTCCCCCAACAACTACAAACAATCGCACTGGGATGGTCCAATAGTGGAAAATATAGCCTCAACGATGCTTCAGAGTGTGTCAGGGAAGGATAGAGCCCGCCTCCTGCAGTGAGAGCCCCTCATGCTGGGGACTTTCTGTTGGCTGTTCCCAACTCCAGCCTTGGCACACGCCTCGACCCACAGACCATCCGCATCGGTGTTGCCCTTCGACTTGCCGCCCCTATTCTCGCCGAACACAGGTGTATTTGTGGCAGTGAAGCAGCAGACCGATTCGGGTACCATGGTCTTGTGTGCCGTAAATCCGAGGGAAAGATTGCAAGACATGAGGAGGTTAATAACATTATCAAGAGGAGCCTCACAACAGCTGGATGCCCAGCAGTAAGGGAGCCACCCCAACTATGCAGATCTGAGGGCAGCCAGAAGCGTCCAGATGGTATCACCCTTCAAGCCTGGACAGATGGGAAGCAGGTGGTGTGGGACTATACATGTGCATCTACCTTGCTGATACCTATCTCCAATACACCAGGGAAAGGGAAAGGGGGGCAGCTGCCAGCTTCAGGAGTCCCAAAAGTCTAGAAAATATGGAGAACTTGCCCATCATTATATGTTTGTTCCCATAGGCTCAGAGACCCTTGGCTCATGGGGAAAGAGTGCATCTAATTTCCTTAAGGAGCTGGGAAAAAGACTCATCAGGGTAACTAGGGATCCCAGAGCAGCTAGTTTTCTGTTCCAGCGGCTCAGTGCGGCTGTTCAAGGGTAATGCCTGCTGTATTTTGGGCACACGCCCCAGCTCTGAGGAGCTGGATGAGATTTTCGCCTTATAATCGGTGATACACACGTAACAACATGTACCGTATATGCCACCTTTATATCAACATGTATCTCTAAATCTTCTGTGCCATATTATGTAATAAAATATTCCTATTAGTAAAAAAAAATAGTTTAAAAGATGGGGTGGTAGGGGAAGTGGAATATTCAAATGGCTTCAGGAAGAAATCCAAATATTCTTCCTTGAAGCCCTTTTATCCACTATATATATAATATATATATATATATATATATATATATATATAATATTATATATATATATAATAATATATATATAATATATATATATATATATAATTTACAAAGTTCCTAAAGAATTTAAAGGTTTATTATAAATAATCTATAAGGTAGGTTAAGGAGTTACAAGATGTATTAGGAATATATGTGGTGTATAGAAGGTAATTAAGGTTAATATTTGTGTTGTATTTACAGTTCTGGGAGGTGATCAGTGACGAGCATGGTATCAGTCCCACTGGGATCTACGAAGGTCAACACGAGATACAACTAGAGAGAATTAATGTATATTATACTGAAGCAACAGGTGAGTCTAGTTATACTGGTAGTTATCATACAGTGTTGTTACACTGGTAGTTATCATACAGTGTTGTTACACTGGTAGTTATCATACAGTGTTGTTACACTGGTAGTTATCATACAGTGTTGTTACACTGGTAGTTATCATACAGTGTTGTTACACTGGTAGTTATCATACAGTGTTGTTACACTGGTAGTTATCATACAGTGTTGTTACACTGGTAGTTATCATACAGTGTTGTTACACTGGTAGTTATCATACAGTGTTGTTACACTGGTAGTTATCATACAGTGTTGTTACACTGGTAGTTATCATACAGTGTTGTTACACTGGTAGTTATCATACAGTGTTGTTACACTGGTAGTTATCATACAGTGTTGTTACACTGGTAGTTATCATACAGTGTTGTTTCACTGGTAGTTATCATGCAGTGTTGTTACACTGGTAGTTATCATACAGTGTTGTTACACTGGTAGTTATCATGCAGTGTTGTTACACTGGTAGTTATCATACAGTGTTGTTACACTGGTAGTTATCATACAGTGTTGTTTCACTGGCAGTTATCATGCAGTGTTGTTACACTAGTAGTTATCATACAGTGTTGTTACACTGGTAGTTATCATACAGTGTTGTTACACTGGTAGTTATCATACAGTGTTGTTACACTGGTAGTTATCATACAGTGTTGTTACACTGGTAGTTATCATACAGTGTTGTTACACTGGTAGTTATCATACAGTGTTGTTACACTGGTAGTTATCATACAGTGTTGTTACACTGGTAGTTATCATACAGTGTTGTTACACTGGTAGTTATCATACAGTGTTGTTTCACTGGCAGTTATCATGCAGTGTTGTTACACTAGTAGTTATCATACAGTGTTGTTACACTGGTAGTTATCATACAGTGTTGTTACACTGGTAGTTATCATACAGTGTTGTTACACTGGTAGTTATCATACAGTGTTGTTACACTGGTAGTTATCATACAGTGTTGTTACACTGGTAGTTATCATACAGTGTTGTTACACTGGTAGTTATCATACAGTGTTGTTACACTGGTAGTTATCATACAGTGTTGTTACACTGGTAGTTATCATGCAGTGTTGTTACACAGGTAGTTATCATGCAGTGTTATTACACTGGTAGTTATCATGCAGGGTTGTTACACTGGTAGTTATCATGCAGTGTTGTTACACTGGTAGTTATCATGCAGTGTTATTACACTGGTAGTTATCATGCAGTGTTATTACACTGGTAGTTATCATGCAGGGTTGTTACACTGGTAGTTATCATGCAGTGTTGTTACACTGGTAGTTATCATACAGTGTTGTTACACTGGTAGTTATCATACAGTGTTGTTACACTGGTAGTTATCATACAGTGTTGTTACACTGGTAGTTATCATACAGTGTTGTAACACTGGTAGTTATCATACAGTGTTATTACACTGGTAGTTATCATACAGTGTTGTTACACTGGTAGTTATCATACAGTGTTGTTACACTGGTAGTTATCATACAGTGTTGTTACACTGGTAGTTATCATGCAGTGTTGTTACACTGGTAGTTATCATACAGTGTTGTTACACTGGTAAGCAGAAGTCAGAGGTCAACATGGAGATGCCTAAGTATTCTTGTTGAGGTTAATAATGCTGTTGGTGTTATTATGAAGTGTAAATAACTGACCTACAAAAGTTATACCAGAACTTTTCATGTTAGATTAAGGTTCGTCAGGAAACAGGATAAGTGTTTCCTGACGCGGGTCTTAGTCATGTGATGACCCGCAGCTGGAGCTTTTGGTCACCTGACCGAAGACTTACACTAGCTGACCACTCCACCACTTTAAAAGATATACTTATAATTGTAACTATTTATCAGCTTGTTTATACCTCTACAGCATATTCACGGAATGTGCTGTAAGGTATATATATATATATACAGGGTGTTTCACTCGTAGGTGGTCCCAAGTTGGTACTCTAGTAGTCTCACCCGTCTTGCATGTATATTATGTCTAAAAGTAGACGGACCTTATGATTCGTCTCTAATCCAGTTTCATTAGCATTCTCCACCTGATGATCCACCCTATATATATTCACGTAATCTTTACCCATGTGTATCTATTTGTGCTTTGATAAAGTCCATTGAGTGGGCGAAACGTAATCAATGTAGGAGCGCATTATATTGCATTTGTTTCTGCTTTTTCACTGTGTTGGTATTTTATATGAACGTACACTGGTCTTCCTGTACTTACGAGCACTGTCAGTAATCCAGCCAGAGTTTAATTTTAAGTTTGATCTCTTTAATCAGTATGGTTAACAATTCCTGCTAGTTATATTCTAGGTCAGACTTTGGTGTGATGGACTGTTTACATCGTCTTTCCATGTCTACTGTTTTTACTGCTGCCTTTGTATTCTACTGAGGAAGTGGAAAGACACTTATGTACGGTTCAGGATATTTATTAGACGAAACGTTTCGCCATGAATGACTTCTTCAATTTTAAACGAGTATATATAGTGGCAGGAATCAGGTGAAACCTGACTCCTGCCACTATATGTGTGAAAATTTATTTGGTCCCCCCAAAAATTCCACGGACGGGTTCACAGTAAATACGCTTTAGGAGCCCTTAACATCCACCCAAACAAACACTAGATGGCGAAGGCAGTGAGTTCAGCATACTAATTGATAGATTTACCCTTTAAGAAGGTTTACGTAGGATTAAACTGTTAGTAACTAATATTAGAATTAGTGTGGTAACCTTAGATATTAATAATGTAGACTTAGACCTTAGCGGTGCCCGTGGCCTGATCGCTAAAGCTCTCGCTTCACACGGTGATGTTTGCGTTCGATTCCCAGCGAGGGTAGAAACATTGGGCGTGTTTCTTTACACTGGTTGTCTGTGTTGTCCCATCTGCAAAATGAGTACCTGGGTGTTAGTCGAATGGTGTGGGTCTCATCCTGGGACAAAACTGACCTAATTTGCGGGAAATGCTCAGCATAACAAGTGACTTTCTATATAGTAGTATGTCATTGATGTCCGCTGTGGTATGTATACCTTGTACATGTACTTGTAGTAAAGATATTATTATTATTATTATTATTATTATTATTATTATAGGTAGGCTTAGACCTTAATATAGGCTAATATTAGGTTATAGTAGACAATGTGAACTAGCAACGCCTAACTTGTCATGATTGTGACTAGACCTACCTGGAGTTCATTACCTTTGTAAATTGTGAGTTCATTACCTTTGTAAATTGTGAATTCATTACCTCTGTAACTTGCTCAGCTATCAAAACTTTGAGGCCCAGTCCCTGGACCCATTATGTACCTCTGTAATCTTTTGACTACCGCCCACAGGCTGGGTATGGGGTGCATAATAAACATATTAAACTAAAACAACGCCATGCTTGAACGGAGGCAGGAAGGGGTCAGACAGACGCTGGCACGGTCTTCTCAACTAGACACCGTCGTGATAACAAGGTACTGGGAGCTACAGCTCGGTGCCCCACGTGTCTTTAAAATATTGGCCTGTGGAACAAAGAATCATAGAAGCTTCCCGAAGATCTGAGGATATTCGTCTCTATCCAGACCCCCTGCAGTAATACCTTTCATTTCTCTTAGTATAGTTTCCCAGCGATATTCTGAGGAACGTGGGATATTTGATATTTAATATTTAATATTTGAACTGTGAGTTATTAGCTGTGGAACGTCCACAGACATGGTAAGATTGCGGGCATCTCCTCTTAAATATTAGTCTAGAAGATAGCGTCTCATAGCATAAATATTTCTTAGGGAATACCCATTGAATTCAGGGATTTTTAAGGTGCAGGTAGGGTATACTAATTTATTTATTTTTTTTATTTATTTATTTATTTATAATTTGAGCACACTTACAGAGGTACAAAAAAAAATACAGATAAGAGCAGCATGCCAAAGCCACTTATACTATGCATAGCATTACGGGCTGGCTTAAAATTAACTTAAGATTAACTAAGCAATGATGAAATCAGTGAAAAACATTAATGTAAACTGATTACTATAAAGCACAAGTGAGTATTACAAAGACAGGTCATATGGTTGCATGCATTGTTGTAAATTCAGTAGAATGGAGTATTCTGTTAGGTAGTGAATTTAAAAAATAATAAAGTTAGATTGGGTTTTAGGTTTAACATTTATGTGATATAATTGTGAGAAACATTTAAGATATACAATTTATAAGGTTCAGTTATTCAGTATTTATTTGGTTTTGGGTGAGTAAGTGATCTTTGAGAAGAGACTTGAATTTATAAACAGGTAGTGTTTCTTTTATATTTACAGGTAATGAATTCCAGATTTTAGGGCCTTTTATGTGCATTGAGTTTTTGCATAGCGTGAGATGGACACGAGGAATATCAAAGAGTGATCTGTGCCTTGTGTTATGGTCATGTGTTCTGTTGAGGTTGGCAAGGAGATGTTTGAGGGGAGGGTTAATATCAGAGTTGAGTGTTCTATGTATGTAATAGGTGCAGTAATAAGTATGGATGTTTTGTATGGTGAGTAGGTTGAGTGTATTGAATATTGGTGGAGTGTGCTGCCTGTAGTGAGAATTTGTTATCATTCTAACTGCAGCCTTTTGTTGGGTAATTAGTGGTCTGAGATGGTGTATTGTTGTTGAGCCCCATGCACAAATTCCATAGGTGAGATAGGGGTAAATAAGAGAGTGATATAGGGCCAGGAGGGTCTGATGTGGAGCTTAGTACCGTATTTTTCGATAGTATGCCTTTACAGTCTTGGAAATTTTCTTAGAAATTTGTTTGTATATGTGTTGAAATTTGAGTCTATTATCAAGGTGGATTCCTAAGAATTTTCCTCTGTTAGCTTGTGATAGGTGATCCGTTTATCATTATGGTTAAGAGGGACATTTTGTAGTCTGTTACCAAACTGAATGAAGTAGGTTTTGTCAATGTTTAGTGTAGTTTGTTAGTACTACCCAGGTAGATATTTTCTGTAATTCGGTATTTACAG